GAGCTGTGTAAAGTGAGAAGTAAAAGGCTTTCAACTTTCATTGTCATTCTCCACTGTCAATAGTTTCTTTCAATTCCTTTCTGGGTTTATTTGTATATCTTTTGTTTCCTAATTCTTTTTGCCATCTTTCTGGCTTTTTAAGGACGTCTTACACGACCTGTCCAAAACCACATCTAATTGACTTATGTATTTCTACAAATAAAAAGTGTGAGGTAGGTTTCAGGCCTGGTTGATTCAGCAGTTTACTGGTGTCCTCAGGGACTCAGATTGTTTCTTTCTCTTCATGTTGCCATCCTTGGAGCTGGTTTTGTTTTTGTAGGCAAATTGGTTTAAAAAAATTATTACAAAAAAAAAAACACGAATGAAAAATAATTCAGAAGAAGGTTGAATTTTATGCATATTGGTCATTAGATGAATTGTCTTTGGTGAAGTGCCTTTGGAAGAAATGGCTTTAAATGAGCCAACTCGGCGGACACTGAGGTTGGGTGGGTGGATGGGTCTTGGCTAGAAGTGACCATGCACAGACGGCCAACACCAAATGTGGAGGGCAGGGGCGGATCATCCCCTGCAGCTCCCTTTGTCCCTTCTCGGGTGTTGACTGTCTTTGGCATCCACTGCATGTCCAGAGGAAGTCCTTTGAATCTTTGGCTCTAAAGGACCTTTGTCTTCTCAGCCCTGGCCACCTCTCTGAAGGGTTTGAGCTTGAGTCGTCTGGCTCTAAGTGGGCAGGAGGCTGGGAGGTGAGCAGAGCGCGCTTTGCTTGGCAGGAACCTTCTTGGCTCATGCGGCCCACCAGAGCCTCCGCCTGTACCCCTTCACTGACGGCTGGCATCCCTTCGTGGTGGCAGCGGAGCTGCTTTATTTCCTCTTCCTCCTCTACTACATGATGGTGCAGGTAAGGAGAGGACTTGTGGCTCCAGGCACAGGGATGGAAGTGGGCGTCCCTCTCCCACCCCGTGCCTCCTCCTTGGGGGTGGCGCTGAAGAAGGGGGAGGGGAAAGGCTTTGCCATAGATGTTTGCCAAGCCACCCGTTGGTCCTTCTGCTGGTGCTGAGGGCTGATTGGGGCTGCCGGCCACAGCCTCAGAGGGTGGTCCTTCCTGGGGGTGGGGGGTGAGAAGCATTGGTCCTGCTGAACCGAGACCTCCCAAAAAGCTGGGATGGGGGGATGGTAGGGTGTGGGGTGGCTGTCCCCATAGCTAGGGGTTCTCTGAACTTAGATGGTGGGGGTTCTTATCTTTTGCTCTCACCTGTGGACCCTGGGTGTTAGGTAAAATCCCACCTGCCACCTTTACTGCCATGCTGCACTGTGAAGGTGCAGATATTGGAGAACAGCGAAGTCTTGAAGATGTTGCGTGCTCATCTGAAAGTGGTCATATGCCCCCTTCCCTCCTCCCACCAAAAATGCAAACCAGGTACCTTAAAGGGGGCATTTTGACCCTCCATCCCCTGCTACAACAACCTCTTTAAAGTAAGGATGGCATTTTTGAGCTTACGATGTGACAGGCGTTGTGCTAAGAACCTCATGTGGGTTTTCTCCTTTAACAACAGGAGGAAGATCCTATTAGCTCCATTTCACAGAGCAGGAAACTAAAGTCCAGAGATGTTAAATTACTTATCCAAGGTCAGAATTTGAATCCAGGGCCGGCCCGGTGGCGCACTTGGTAGAGTGCGGCGCTTGGGAGCATGGCGGCGCTCCCGCTGAGGGTTCGGATCCCATATAGAGACCGGTCCGCTCACTGGTTGAGTGCGGTGCGGGCGCGACACCGAGGGTTGCGATCCCGTTACTGGTCACGAAAAAAAAGAAAAAAAAAAAAAAAAGAATTTGAATCCAGAGAGTCTGACCCCTGACCTTCACACTCAAACTGTAGGCTACATCGACTTCATAGAACTGAGCACTGCCAATTCCAGCCCAACAGCCAGCAGTGATCCAAGAGCATCTTAAGTCCTTGCCTTTGTCTGAGAACCTGCAGGGAGATCCACGCATGCTCGCACTGCGCTTTGCTCCTCTCCTCTCAATTGTCCTTACACGCTGCCTGCAGCTGCTTCAGAAAGTCACTCTCCAAAACCCTTAAATCTCTCAAAATGCTGCTTGAGCAGTTTTAAAAAATCTCCCGTCTCTCCACCCCTTTATTATGGAAGTGAACTTAGCCTCTTACCAACCAAACACAAGTTCTT